TTTTTCTTTTTTGTTTTTTGTAATCTTGGACAACGTATGATTTCTGCTCATTTAAAAAAAATTAAAGATAACTTATTTTATATATTAAAGTAAATTATAATTTTATAAATACTAACCTTGTGTTGTTTTCTTTTCAAGTGTCTTCAAAACATATTCATCTTGCTTCATCAATTTTTTTGTTTGCTTTTTTTGAATCTCATCACCTTCTAAACTTTTTTCTTTTTCAACATTTTCATCAATAGTCTTTTCATCTTCATTTTTTCTTAATTTATTAACTATTTCCACCACGGTTCTCCTTGCTGTGTTTTTGGTATATTTTTTTGAACCTTCAACTACACAATGTGAAATTTTTAATATCAATGTCAAAAATATAAGTAGTATTACGAAATACATGTTAAACAATATAAAATTGAACATGTGATGATCAAATTGCAAAAACTTTTTAGAAATTCACATTGTGAATTTATGCATTTAACAGCAAAACAGTTTGAGGTTCACCAAGTGATGTACACATACACATGGTGAATTTTTACAACTATTTTGTTCATAGTGAATACAAACAAAAGTGTTGATCAACTTGCAAAAAAAAAAAATTTTAAGAGATTCACATTGTGAATCTGTGTGAATGTGAGACATACATCCAAGATTCACATTGTGAATTTATGCATTTAACAGCAAAAGAGTTTGAGGTTCACCAAGTGATGTACACATACACATATTGAGAATTTTTACAACTATTTTGTTCATAGTGAATACAAACAAAAGTGTTGATCAACTTGCAAAAAAAAATTAAGAGATTCACATTGTGAATCTATGTGAATGTGAGACATTCATCCAAGATTCACATTGTGAATTTATGCATTTAACAACAAAAGAGTTTGAGGTTCACCAAGTGATGTACACATACACATATTGAGAATTTTTACAACTATTTTGTTAATAGTGAATACAAACAAAAGTGTTGATCAACTTGCAAAAAAAAAAAAATTTAATAAGTGTGTAGTATATGATTAGATAACTAGTTATTTTAATTTGAATGCGAATGTTCTAACCTTTATTTTTATCTTGAATATCTTCAATTTTTTCACTTGTATTTGAAGGTAGAACATCTTTTAGATTTCTTGTCAATTTCATTCTTTTCTTATTATCCTTTTTTTCATTGTTCTTTTCTTCATTTCCTGTTTTTGATTAACAAATTAGTTCAAACATCAATTTCATGGTATGAAAGTTATGATTTATTCATATTTTTCACAACGTGAATCAGGATTACAAATAAATTTAACATAATATTTATTCACATTGTGAATTCAGTTTGAATCAAAACATTATCAATGCAACTCTTTATAAATTTACAATGAGAAACACATTAAGAGATACAATATCAATTAAACATAGATGCATCATAAAATTTCACAAGATGAAAAAATCAAATGTAAATGATAAATCACCTTGTGAATTCACAATTTGAATAAATGATATGTTAAATTGATATATAATCATGATTCACTTTGTGAATTGTCAAATAATGTAATACTCAGAAACATTGAATCCTTTCAAAATAATCAAATGTAAATCACAAAGCACACGGTGAATTCAAAATGTGAAATTAGTTTTTCAGTTTAATGAATAAACTCAGAAACCACTTAGATTCACAAAGTTTTTACGAAATTACGGTTTGTAATTTAGATATTCATGATTTCTGTATCGATTTGAAGAAATTTATATCATTAGGTTTTTGGTAATTTTACAAAATTCTCAAAAATTCATGAAATTAGGGTTTCGATTTACTTAATAAACTCAGATTCGAGTTAGATTCACAAAGTTTTAGGAAATTTCAGTTTGTAATATAGATATTCATGATTTCTGTATCGATTTCAAGAAATTTAAATCATTAGGTTTTCGTTATGTATACAAATTATTAAAAGTTCATCATCCGAGGGTTTCAAATCAGTCTAAAAACGATTTTGTTAATAAAATAGTGTATTCACAGATTCATCGAATACATAATGTAACAGATAGTTTAGATTTGTCGTTTTGAAATTTATCAATCGAAAAAATATAATGTTGAAAATGCATTAAATGAGATAATCGGAAATGAATAGCAGTCAAATATACCTTTTAGATTCATTTTGACGAACTTTTCGGGAAGATTCACTGTGGATATTGGCTGAATCGTCGCCGGCGATTCGTTAGAAATCGATGTTCATCGGTGAAGTAAAAGATCGCTTTCAATGAAAGGGTAAAATCGATTTCACTGATATGTGAAACTGATGAACTAACGTCGTTAATTAACAGTGAAAGTTAATAAGTTTTAGGTTGACGAAAATGCCCCCTTAAGTTACGTGTTTGGTTATAATCAGCTGGACACTATTGTTTTTCATACTTTTACATCTCAAATCCAATGACTGTTAATTTTTTGATCCAACCATCTTAATAGGTTCCTTGGTTCCTCCACTCATAATTGGTTCTCTATTGAACCCCTCCCTATATATATATATATATATATATATATATATATATATATATATATATATATATATATATATATATCGAAACGGTTAACTTGAGATTCGGAGAGTTTGTTAAAAAGACGTACGACATTGATTCCTGAAAAGAAGCATATCCGCTAGTTGTGTAATTGTAGGCTTGCGGTGGCGTTAATGGCGCCCGGCGGTGTTCATTCCGGTTGATTGTGACTAGCTAGCCTGCTTCAAATTTGTTTTCTTGTCGGTTTTCTTGATCAGCCATATATATGCATGGCGTATCGTAGAAGGCATGGAATTTCTAGGTCTTCGACGTTCAAGGAAGAACTCTATCGTCCTCCTGAGGATAAAACCACCTCCTCAGCTCCATCCTCTCCTCTTGCCTCTCAGATACGAACATCTGATGTTCATCGTGACTCTTCTCTCTCCAGTTCAACGTTTAACACGTCTCTTCAACGCGGATCCAAGGTTTTCCATTCTATTTGTATTTTACTCTTCATATATATGCCTACAATGAAAATTATTTTCAGAATTCTTATTTCGTTTTCATTCTCATGCAATTTCAATTGTTTCCATATTATTTCAATAATTTCTTCGGCAACAATAATGTATTAATCAACATTACTCATGCTTCCTAAATTTAGAGAAGGCATAAAAAATACAAGGGATGATTGATTGTTAAATTTGTAATCAGGAGTTAAGTGATCAAAAAGTGCAAGGGGGAACACTCACCATTAATGTGGACAAAAGAAGTCATGATATTCAAGATGCTAGTAAGATGCAGAACAAGATCAAATCTGAAGCAACTGATCATAAAGAACTTGACACCGAAAAACAGTCACAGTCACAGGAGCAGTCGCAGGAGCAGGAGCCTGAAACACCGACCAATCATGAGGATCAACTGAAGGCATCTCGCGACGTAAGGTGGCAAATGTGTAATTAATTGCATGTCTACTATGGTTCAAGTATTGGAAACCATAGCAAATTCATAAGCTTGGAGTTCTCACATTATCATTGCATCATCACATGCATGTTATTCTTACAAGATTTTCTGTGTTTGTTACATGGGGCTCTACCCGACTCAATTGGATAGGACTGGACAAACTTTCTAGGGTTATTTAGGATACTGAGAATGAGAAGGGTATTCACGTCTTTTCTTTTGAACGTTACAATAAATTACAATTTTTGTTCCAATGACATCATTTTTGGTCTCACTCCAGACTTAATAACTACATGTTTTTTGTGGCGTGTTATATCCCACTTAAAGAAGAGTTTGGATCTCTTGCCGTTCAAAAGACATGATTGTCCTCGTAACAATGATTATAGAAAATACAATAGATCTAGAAAGTCCACTCGAGCCCCATGTGACAAATGAAGCCTCAAACAATAATTGGTTATATATGCCAGGTGGCGATTGCAACGGCTGCGAAAGCGAAACTTCTTTTTCGAGAGATTAAAACTGTGAAAGCGGATTTAGCTTTTGCAAAACAAAGAAGTTCTCAACTAGAAGAAGAAAATAAAATTCTTCGAGAGGCTCGTGAAAAAGGAGACCACCCTGCCGATGATGACATGGTACATATTAACTATAAATCTTTAACTTCCCTTTTTTTTTCTATAACCCCGTTTGTCACCTAAAAAAATAGGACTAGAATCGCTTTGAATTTCTTGTTTGTACAAAAGACGTAAATGCGCTTATAATCTGCAACTTTAAGTTTGAATAACAACTTACTATATATGATCAGATACGACTCCAACTTGAAACACTTTTAGCTGAGAAGGCACGTTTGGCTAATGAGAACTCGGTATATGTTCGCGAGAATAGCTGCTTGAGGGAAGTAATTGAATATCATAAACTAAGTATGCAAGATGTGGTGTATTTGGATGAAGGAATTGAAGAGGTTGCTGAAGTTAATCCTAGAGTTTCCAGGACACTTTCCGCACCCCCGTTTCCTTCATCTCCTCAAAACAAAAAATCCCTTTACAACCAAGGAAACTGAATTCCAAGATGGCAGTCGTCGTGCAAATTTGAATTAGGATTTTTTTTCTTTTATATTGATAAAATTTTGAATAGATAAATGATGTTTGTCTGGAGTAAGTTATATATACATAAAATCTATTTCTTTTTTGGAGTAAATGAAATGTTTGAATATCGACCATTTTCCCATGTGTAGATACAAATGATCTCTAAGTAAGTTTATGTATTACACAATTTACAATTAAGAATTCAAAGAAAGAAATATATTTACCAAAAAAAAACATCAAAAGAAAACAATTTGGAAGTATATTAGACAACGAAGCCCTAACACTGCTACTTTTCATGCGATCTTTCATAGCCAACTCCATGCCACGGGGTTTATGCAAAGCAAGCATCACCTTTTATGAGTAGCAGTCAAGTTTTTGTCCCTTTGACCGAATTTCACTATAATGTCCACCAATCAATATATATCGAAACGGTTAACTTGAGATTCGGAGAGTTTGTTAAAAAGACGTACGGCATTGATTCCTGAAAAGAAGCATATCCGCTAGTTGTGTAATTGTAGGCTTGCGGTGGCGTTAATGGCGCCCGGCGGTGTTCATTCCGGTTGATTGTGACTAGCTAGCCTGCTTCAAATTTGTTTTCTTGTCGGTTTTCTTGATCAACCATATATATGCATGGCGTATCGTAGAAGGCATGGAATTTCTAGGTCTTCGACGTTCAAGGAAGAACTCTATCGTCCTCCTGAGGATAAAACCACCTCCTCCGCTCCATCCTCTCCTCTTGCCTCTCAGATACGAACATCTGATGCTCATCGTGACTCTTCTCTCTCCAGTTCAACGTTTAACACGTCTCTTCAACGCGGATCCAAGGTTTTCCATTCTATTTGTGTTTTACTCTTCATATATATGCCTACAATGAAAATTATTTTCAGAATTCTTATTTCGTTTTCATTCTCATGCAATTTCAATTGTTTCCATATTATTTCAATAATTTCTTCGGCAACAATAATGTATTAATCAACATTACTCATGCTTCCTAAATTTAGAGAAGGCATAAAAAATACAAGGGATGATTGATTGTTAAATTTGTAATCAGGAGTTAAATGATCAAAAAGTGCAAGGGGGAACACTCACCATTAATGTGGACAAAAGAAGTCATGATATTCAAGATGCTAGTAAGATGCATAACAAGATCAAATCTGAAGCAACTGATCATAAAGAACTTGACACCGAAAAACAGTCACAATCACAGGAGCAGTCGCAGGAGCAGGAGCCTGAAACACCGACCAATCATGAGGATCAACTGAAGGCATCTCGCGACGTAAGGTGGCAAATGTGTAATTAATTGCATATCTACTATGGTTCAAGTATTGGAAACCATAGCAAATTCATAAGCTTGGAGTTCTCACATTATCATTGCATCATCACATGCATGTTATTCTTACAAGATTTTCTGTGTTTGTTACATGGGGCTCTACCCGACTCAATTGGATAGGACTGGACAAACTTTCTAGGGTTATTTAGGATACTGAGAATGAGAAGGGTATTCACGTCTTTTCTTTTGAACGTTACAATAAATTACAATTTTTGTTCCAATGACATCATTTTTGGTCTCACTCCAGACTTAATAACTACATGTTTTTTGTGGCGTGTTATATCCCACTTAAAGAAGAGTTTGGATCTCTTGCCGTTCAAAAGACATGATTGTCCTCGTAACAATGATTATAGAAAATACAATAGATCTAGAAAGTCCACTCGAGCCCCATGTGACAAATGAAGCCTCAAACAATAATTGGTTATATATGCCAGGTGGCGATTGCAACGGCTGCGAAAGCGAAACTTCTTTTTCGAGAGATTAAAACTGTGAAAGCGGATTTAGCTTTTGCAAAACAAAGAAGTTCTCAACTAGAAGAAGAAAATAAAATTCTTCGAGAGGCTCGTGAAAAAGGAGACCACCCTGCCGATGATGACATGGTACATATTAACTATAAATCTTTAACTTCCCTTTTTTTTTCTATAACCCCGTTTGTCACCTAAAAAAATAGGACTAGAAATCGCTTTGAATTTCTTGTTTGTACAAAAGACGTAAATGCGCTTATAATCTGCAACTTTAAGTTTGAATAACAACTTACTATATATGATCAGATACGACTCCAACTTGAAACACTTTTAGCTGAGAAGGCACGTTTGGCTAATGAGAACTCGGTATATGTTCGCGAGAATAGCTGCTTGAGGGAAGTAATTGAATATCATAAACTAAGTATGCAAGATGTGGTGTATTTGGATGAAGGAATTGAAGAGGTTGCTGAAGTTAATCCTAGAGTTTCCAGGACACTTTCCGCACCCCCGTTTCCTTCATCTCCTCAAAACAAAAATCCCTTTACAACCAAGGAAACTGAATTCCAAGATGGCAGTCGTCGTGCAAATTTGAATTAGGATTTTTTTTCTTTTATATTGATAAAATTTTGAATAGATAAATGATGTTTGTCTGGAGTAAGTTATATATACATAAAATCTATTTCTTTTTTGGAGTAAATGAAATGTTTGAATATCGACCATTTTCCCATGTGTAGATACAAATGATCTCTAAGTAAGTTTATGTATTACACAATTTACAATTAAGAATTCAAAGAAAGAAATATATTTACCAAAAAAAAACATCAAAAGAAAACAATTTGGAAGTATATTAGACAACGAAGCCCTAACACTGCTACTTTTCATGCGATCTTTCATAGCCAACTCCATGCCACGGGGTTTATGCAAAGCAAGCATCACCTTTTATGAGTAGCAGTCAAGTTTTTGTCCCTTTGACCGAATTTCACTATAATGTCCACCAATCACCTAAAAGGCTAAACTTGCAAGTTTAAATAGTTTGACCCCCCCAGGCGTCAATATGGTGTGTAAACAAAGAGTAAAAAGAAAATTATATCTATGTAAGGGTATATATTGATTTGCAAGTCAAATGGTGTATACGATGAAATGATGGACAGATGCTAAGAGTGTCTGTTTAGACAATTGTTGCAAACAAGTGAGCAGGTGATAACATTTCCATATTTATTTACTTCAATTTGAAGCAAAATGTTTCCGGATGTGTATGATTTTTACGAACAATTGAGCAAGTGAACATCTTTACAGCTTGCAAACACTTTGGACCACATAGGAGGTCAACCGCATATCACTAGCAATATTTTGGGTGTGTTAGGGTTTAAACCTCAGACCTCTGAATTTCACTCATCAACCACTAACTAGGTTCTCATCGAGTGGGGAGTTTGACTATATATATGTAAAGATCAAGAAAATTAGTAAACATGTAACATATCAAAGTTCTACAAGGCTTACAAGCTCTATAACTCATACGACTCAACTTAACTTACATTTTATTTTGTTTTGGCATTTAAAAGTAAATTAACAATGTTGCATTGATAACATCTCATTTAGTGTGAAAATTATACAAAATATTCCTAAGACAATATACTACTGGAAATTTCATATTTTAACGAATTAGTTATATGCAATAACATATATCTATCAACATTTTAACCATATAATTTTATTCAAATACATTGCGAGGATATATCCCTAGTTTATCCTAAATTAGACTACTATATTTAACAAATATATATATATATATATATATATATATATATATATATATATATATATATATATATATATATATATATAGGTTACATTTCTACATACTTTCACTTAAGATCATTTCCCTAACATTATATATTAAGTCAAAAAAAGCACTTGTAAAAAGTAAATATTTGAATGAATTAAAAGCTTGTTTATATATATATTTTTTCCGGTTAAAAGACTTCATATTTGGAGAAATGGAAGAATAACATAAATGAGGAAAATTCTGTAAAATGTAAGGAGGACTTAATAGGGAAATCATTATTTCATTGATAATTTGTATTAAGTTGTTTTCTATATATCAAGTCAAAAATAAACATTCGTATATAGCTTACTCAATTAGAAGCATGTTTCTTTATTTTCTATAGACAAATGATTAAAAAATATTTTAGAAAATAAGGCCAAACTTGTGGAAATGTGTTAAGATTTGAACCTTGAACCTTCTATATAAAATTCCATTATTCAACCACCACTATTTTTCTACATGCTTTTCATTACATTCGTACACATGATATAACTGTTTTGACAAGGACCGGACATGTACTGTTGTGTTGTTGATGTTAATGGAACAAGAAGTGCAATTTTTTGTTGAACTAAAAAGACAGGTACAGAAATTTGTTGGTAATACTATACAAACTTTTATACGTGAATGAATAAAGTATGCATAATAACATTTTTGGTAATACTTGTTTTAGGCATCAAGTGAAGGACAGAAGGAGGAGGGAAAGCAATATTACTATTACTATACACTCACTAACTTCAATATAAAACTTTAGTGAAACCAACCAACCAACCTTTTACACCACTACTAAATGCAATGCATTACATACACACTCAACACTCGTCAAAACAACTGAAAATATAAACTTGTAGAACCATCACTAAACGATCTCAACTCCGCAGGTCTCACCAATGCTCTGCACAAAGGACACGTCCTTTCCCTTTCAAACCTGTTTGTTATTGTTACATTTCATACATCATATATATATATATATATATATATATATATATATATATATAAAACCTGTTTTGTTTTGTCATGTATAAAAGCATAAAAGTTATTGAGAGAGAGGTAGTCACCATTCTGATACGCATTCTTCACAGAAGACATGTTTACAACGAAGCACAACTGGAACATGCATTTTTTCTTGGCAAATAGCACAAACCTCACCAGCTGCATTTACCTGACATATCCATATATATATATATTAGGATCTCAACTTCACTAATTATTATTGTTGGGTCCCATATGAATAAAATAAAATAAAATAAAATAAAGAGGCTGCTTGCCTGTTCAGATGTTGCATAAGGTCCATAGTGAATCTCATTACGATATAAAGCCTTTACAGACGATATTAATGATTGGACCTGTGCAACAAAATCACCATTTATAGTTCCTTCCATTTACCCAAGTATCTGTGATCCAGATAACATTCAATGGGAGATAAAAAGAATGAACCTTTTCAACAATGGAAGTTAGCTTGAATGTGAGATATAATCCAGTCATTAGTGATGAAAATAGGCTTCCATATTCTTTGTTCAAAAAGAACCGATACCACACTGGAGCAGGAAGCAAAGCACGGTATAAAAGCAACAAGTACTCAACCACAGTCAACATTTGACCCTACCACTCACAAAACCTCCAGTCAGAAACACACACACACACACACACACATTTATATAAAATATTTAAAATAAAAATTGTTTTCAGCTTTATTTATGCATTGTATCTGACCTGTTTTCGGCGATTTCTTCCTCTGCTGTTCTTGTAATACATTAACAGAAAACACTTGAGCACCATTGCTGCTTGTCTAGCCAAAGTATCTGAAAACCCAATAGAATTCTTGAGTATTTTCTTATGAAAATTTATGCAATATATAACTTTTGATGAAAAGAACTCACCATTGACAACTATTATGAAAACTGCATGCCAGAAAGGTGGTGTAGTTTCAGGAGGGAGCATTACCAATGGATACAGGACATCATCCTGGCGGCACCACCAGTAAACACCAGCCACATGAAGTGTAAACAAAAGAGAAATGGTTGCTAGAACTGCTATCTTCCTTTCTCCCTGAAAATATATTTGATGAAACTGTTATGGAGCACCTTATGTAACATATTATTGAGGGAAAACAAAAAAGAAACATCAAGAAATAAAGAATGATTTGCACCTTGAGAGCTGTCTGCTTGCGAAGAATATCATTTGATTTGAACATAAAAGCAGCAATCCAGATTGTGACAAGAAAATCTGGAATCCCTTGCAAAGAGCAATTACAGTGAGAAAAAGTAGATCTCCAAACAAAGAGGAAATGGGAGTGATAAACGCATGAAGATAAGAACATTGTGATTGCAATACCTTCAAAGTGTTGCCGAATGAAGACCACCAACAGTAATAAAGAAAATGGAAGAACTTGCTCAACCAATCTGGCAGCCTGCTGTAAATCATATCTCTGGTAAGTAGAATCTCTGCTATTGTTAACACCAATACCATCTGCAGACTCCACATCACCATTCCCACTCACAGCACCACCATGATCACTCCTTGAATCTCCCTGAGTATCCATGGTCGCTGCAGAAACAGCTCTTGAAATTGAGTGAACCAATGATTCACTCTGTGTAGCTGTTCCAACAGTTGAAGATTGATTGATATTTTGTTCTCCACTACCAGCGATCCTGATAGATACTTCACTTGAATCATCCATGGATGGAGAGGAGTCATTCCGAGTGCGTCCACTATTGATCAAACTGCCTGATGAATCGGAATGACTAATACTTTGCGTTTGTAAAATTCCCATATACTCCAAGAATGCACATACAGGTGAGCGAAAAAAATTTGAAGCGGAGAAAGGGTTGTTTCCATTTTGCCTTCGTAGATGGTGATAATGATGATCGCTAGTACTGGTGCTTGCCAAAGAACCTCTGTGCGCGTCTGAATTAACACCAGAAGCCTCCATTCTGTTCGAAAACCTACCCCTAAACCTAATCCTAACACTATTTAAAGGGAGAAAATCACAGAAAATTTCACATATAATCAGTAAAGAACGATTTATAGAGAGATAATTATAACAAACTAAATGAACAAAAATCAAAGATCATATTTGAAATAGCTAGGTAGATGAACACTGAAAGTGATCATAAAATTAAATTAAAGAGAAGGTAAATCTTAGTGTGGTGTAGATTCTTACCTTGGAGACCGAAGCTCCGTTGAAATGGCTCTGAATTATGAGATACGGAGATTCAGTAGGTGAACCCTAACGAATTGCAGTGGAGAAACCAATGAGAACGTTGGAAATTGCATAACGCTATCGGGAATACATGAGCCGTTTGGGCGTTGTACGAACAAATGTATGCCGATCTTCAAAGGACGACGGAGCATTAGAAGAAAATGGCGGAGATAGTGGTGGAGATGGCTGATTGTATCTCTCCGTCTCCAAATTCGATCTTTTAGCAGTGGAGAGAGAGAGAGAGAGAGAGAGAGAGAGATGCGTTTGGTTTAATAGCAAAGTAACGCTAAATCCTTCAACTTTACTAAGAGAATGTCAGTTAAAAAGATATTTAAATTTAAAACTAGTTATTATAGCAGTTCTTTAAATTAAATACTAAACAAAAATTAATATACTAATAAAAGTCAACCTTATCACATTAAATAAAATTTAAAAGTATGAATTGTATACGGTATAAAGATAGTTTGACTATTTACAGGAACTTTTTTTTTATGAATATGGTATCTTTGGAAGTCATGAAAATCGTAATGTATTGACCAATGATTATGATATAATGATAATGTAATCGAAAGATGACGAATATATTGTTTATAATACCAACATATTATAAACCAATGAAACATTATCGTTGGAACATGTTGTAATATATTGTTTGAAAAAAAAAATTGGATACTTATTTGAATAAATAGTGTGTTATCATTTTAAAATATTTATTGATGGCAGAATTTATTCTCTCCTATGTGGTAGTTATGTGTAATAGAAAGATTTCAACGATGGTGGACTCGATTCTTTGCAAAAAATGTCATGTTGAAATAACTAATGTCTTACACATGGAAGTATATGAGGAATAAATTGAAATGTGACCTTGATGTTGGTAGCACCTTTTGTTGCCTAAAGAGAAAGGATTAATGATGATGCATTGCATTTGTTGTCGGATGTGGATACTTATGGGGAACGACACTTTGGGTGCATCATACTGGAAATCGATATGGAAAATACATGCCCAATAATGAGCATGGCCACATAAGTTTGAGGACATGGGCATGTATATGTGAATGTATATGTGAGGGGCAATCACATAGTTGTAGCATATTCAAGACATGAGTATGAAAGTCTAGTATTGTGCATGATTATGTAGAATTGAGTTATGTAGTTGTGATCTAATAGTGGACCATGCAAGTTTTAGTGGCATAAGCAAGGCTTGTCCTAGAATTTACACATTAAATTTAATTGTTAAAGAGCTATAGTTATTACATGAGTATATTTAAGGATGACAGTAATACCCTAGCACGACTGAAAAATAAAAACAAACCCAAAAATGTTGGGTCGGGTACCCAACATTTAACCATCCCCGAACCATTTATATTTTATTAATGTTTATACTTTGTATTGTAATATTATATTTGGTATTGGAGATAGAAAGTTTTCTGTGCAATTACTATTTTATTTAGAATGTATATTGATAATTTTGCTTTTATTATTTATATTGTGATATTGGTTAGTTTATCATAAAATTAGCATATTATAATTATTGTATGGTGATGATTATATTTATGTACCATTTGTTAGATATTTAACTTGTGTATTAGAAATTGAAATTATATATAAAAAAAAAAGTTTAAGTTATTTTTTAGATGAGATTATAATCGGGTTTTAGTTAATAGAAAACTCAATGGGTAAAATGTAACATATCAACATCATAAATACGATACCCAATATCCACACAGACGTTGGGAGACATAAGTGGTTTCCAAAGAGGGGGGGAGGGGGGGGGGGGGTGTTTGTCAAGGGCCACTACTACACTTCAACCTATTAATGTATTTTTTTTCTATTAAGGTGCAATGTCTTATTATTTTATATTTGGTCAGAATTTTTTTGGTGTCACTACTATCGAAAGTTTCTGCGTCCGCTAGATATACCCACAACCCCGATGTATATTTACTAACTGGGCGAGTTTAGGATGTGGTTTTATAGTTTGGTAGATGATTATAAGACTAGAATCATTAGTAACTGTCTTATATATGTCACACTGGCTATATAGGCATGTGATACATTCTCATCCCTAACTATAATGGGATCATCCAAATCGGTCTCATTGCCATAAAATAATGTCTTATTATTACATAAAGATGTTGGTGGCATAAACGTACCCTTCGAGACACCTATGTTGCCAGTGATTTTTTGGGTTGCAATATGGTAATAAGTAATAACACTTATAATTATAGCAGCAGGAAAAAAATACTTGGAAAATCCAAAAGGATCAACCATGAGACCATATAAGCAATAATCACTTAAATCTCGGGATGCTAAATAACTATATATATACAACTAGCAAGATAGTTAGGTCGTGAAGAAAGAGTTTGAGTTTGGGTCGGACGATATAATCTCAACAATCTTCTAACATTAAGAAACAAAATTGTTTGTCTTAAATACAATATTTTGAAGATGATGCTCTGTTATTAAAAAAAATGAATTATTTTTCTATATATTTTCCGTAGTCATATTTTTTACTATTATTATTTTAGGAACGAGAATCCCTTTCAATACAAAAAAAAAAATCTTAGATAAATGGTAAAAAAAATTGTTTTTTATTTTTTGTTTTTTATTTAAATAGGGGCCTTTATAGAAAGTATTAAGCTAAAAAGGACTAAACATGACAATATGTGAATAGTGTATGGACCTTTAATGTAATAATTGCATTAGATGCAGCCATAAAGCACCGAGGCCCTTCACAAATTTAAAGAGAGAACTTCCCAATTGAACTCCAGTTCAGTGGAGTTATTCCAAAGGATCGAAAGGATCACCCCCATCGTTATCATCAATTAGGTCGCAATCAGCAGCTGCTGCTACTGTTGCTGCTAGAATTGCAATTGAAGACTTGAATTTTTAAATTAGTGAAATTTGAATGAAGGGATATGGAGGGGTTTGGTGGTAGCGGTGGTAGTAGAAATAGGAGAATTACGATGGCTAGCAGCACGGGTAGAGGTGGGAGTAGACCACCACCGCTATGCGGTGGTCGGAGGAGAGTGGTTGCTACAAAGAAGCATGGCTGGAGCAACCCGCTGTCGGTCAACAACAGCGTCAAAAAACTTCAAAGACGCGAGATTTCTTCCAAACCCAATCGTGCCTCTGCAATCACCAAATCTCTCCACCGTTTTCGCAACTTCCGCTTGACGGTAGTCCCCTTCCCATCCTACCCTCTATTCTTCTTCAGTTCTCTTCAATTCAGCTAGTTTCCACTACTATACAGCTAAAATTAAAAAAAAAATTAAAGAGTTAGCTATATAATTTGAGATCAGACACTAATTTTAGGGCTCCCTTGTCACGCGTTTAAATAATAAAATAACTAAAAAGTAGTCAATCTCTTTTCTTCTTTCGTGTTGGATGCGGAAATCCCTAATGGCTATGATCATCTGGACAATATAACTTGTGGGTTGATGCGATGTATGATGATTGTTTGCTATGGAAAATAACACTTGATTATGCTAACGTAATCCTAATTTAGATATTAATACATTATAAACTTTGATTTCGTGTTCTTAATCTATTTGCCTTTTCAGGCGATTTAACATTTGTTTTTCCCATACTTAATGCTGTGCTCCTTCTCTAGTCTATTTATTTGTAAAGGGGATTTTTCTGATTTGGGAACCAAAACATGCGAGACTAATGAATGGTTCAAACCTAAGCATCGTAGATGAACATTTTCTTTATATGATGCTTCTATTTTGTTTCTGTTGCCAAATTGGGGATCTTGATATTTATCTTCCAATCTGAGGGGAGCATTTGAATATAGATCAAGAATTAGGGTTTAGTTTAGTGTGGATGCTTAATTGCTTACTAATTAAGGGTTTAAATGTGCTTTATTCCTTGTTTTTTTTAACCCTCTTCCCTTCTCATTTGTTAATCAATAATCTACGAATGTTTAAAGAAGTTAAATTCCTAATACTATACATTAAAATTCTCAGATATACTCAAAGTTAAAATAACTTTTTATCTTCTTTAAATTTGAACAGTCATATAGCATGATATCTAAAGCTTCATTTTTGCATTTCAACCCAACACATCTATGTGTTGTCCCATTTCTTTTTCATTATTATTTATTTGCTACAAATTATTGACAAGTTTATTAGTGCGCACACATTATATCAAAGTTAAAGAACAAAAATGATGAACATAATTAACACATGCATACATGTGCTTATGAGACAAAAATGAAGAGATTTTCATGTCCACACAAATCATAATTATCACATGCAACACATTTACATTCTTCCTGCTAAATTTCCCCTATATGTTAATAAACATTACATAAATTACTTTACTTTTTTTAATACCATATCAGGAGAGATACGATATCCATGATCCTGTGGGCCAATGTTCATTAGTATTACCATTGTTGATGAAAAGAGCAAAAGTCATTGAAATAGTTGTGGTTCATGATATTGTCTTTGCTCTTGCAAGTTCTGGTGTTTGTGCGGCTTTTAGTAGAGGTAATGCAAAACACAAATTTTTTTAACTCTCTACAGTTTCTTGTTATCTTTCTACTTATGGGTATGCTAGAATAACATTTTCTTGGTTTTTAATCCAAATACAGATACAAACAAGAGGATATGTTTCTTGAACATCTATCCAGATGAAGTCATCCGGAGTTTGTTTTATAATAAAAATAATGATTCATTGATTACAGTTTCGGTATATGCTTCCGATAACTTCAGTTCACTAAAATGCAGATCAATAAGAATAGAGTACATCTTTCTACTCATTTCTTTTATGTACATGTCATTTACTTGAAAAAAGATAGAAAATCTAATTAATTGATATTTGTGTTCCTTTTTTATGCTAGATACATACAAAGAGGGAAACCTGATGAAGGGTTTCCTCTTTTTGAAACCGAATCTTTAAAGTGGCCTGGATTTGTGGAGTTTGATGATGTAAATGAAAAGGTTCTTACCTACTCTGCACAAGATAGGTATCTTTCCTTACCTTAAAGAGGAGGGCATTCACGTCTTTTACACAGACTTGCAATTTTTGTCCCATACATGATAACATATTGTTTTGACTTTTGTCTTTAGTATATACAAGGTATTTGACCTGAAGAACTACACACTCTTATACTCGATAGCCGATAAACATGTGGAAGAAATCAAAATCAGGTAAACTTTTTTTCTTTTTTTTTACTAGTTAGTATAAATATAAAATAATAAATAAACCCTTTGATTCATTTTATGAAACAGCCCTGGAATCATGTTACTAATTTTTAGTCGGGGTCAAAGCCATGTTCCTTTGAAGATACTATCTATAGAAGATGGCACGGTTTTAAAAGACTTCAATCATTTACTTCATCGAAACAAGAAAGTTGATTTTATTGAACAATTCAATGAAAAGCTTCTTGTTAAACAAGACAATGAGAATCTTCAAATTCTTGATGTATGTTAGTTAATATGTTATTCTTCCTTCCATTTCTTCCAATTTTATCTAAAACATAATTTATCTTGGATTGTAAGGTGAGGAATGCAGAGGTGAAAGAGGTTGGAAGCACAGAGTTTATGACTCCATCTGCATTTATATTTCTATATGAGAATCAGCTGTTTCTAACCTTTAGAAATCAAACGGTTTCTGTGTGGAACTTTAGAGGGGAACTTGTTACATCATTTGAAGACCATGTCTTATCACATCCAGACTGTAATACTAACAACATCTATATAACTAGTGATCAAGATCTCATTGTTTCTTTCTGCAAGGCTGCTGATAACCAGCAATTCACTGATCGAAGAGGTGAATTTACTTTTATGCCCTTTTTATTTCCCACAACATGAACCCCTTTGCATTGCTATTTATTGCAAATGTCACAATGTAATGGTTCTTAATGGATTGGTTGCAGCTGGTTCTATTAATATAAGCAACATATGGACTGGAAAATGCATAGCAAAAATAAACTCAAGCAATGCAGTTTCATCAAAGGAAGAAGAGGGAAGCTCAAGTTCAAGGTCAAGGCAAATTGAAGTGAATATGGTTGAAGAGGCACTTGAGGACATAACTGCCCTTTACTTTGATGAAGATCGCAATGAAATCTATACTGGAAATAGTAATGGTTTGGTTCATGTTTGGTCTAACTAATATAAATAATAATAGGTTGTGTTGAGTTGTGTTGTGGAGAATAATTACATATGTTAGTAGTTATGAATATGAATGTTCTAAGTATATATATAGGTTAATTTGTGTGTTTGATATTTGAGATAATAGAGATATATGTGAAGCTTTCGGTTTGTGTTTTGTGGCTAAGAACTAAATATTGGGATTCATGTCAATGTGAGTAATTAGAAAATTATAAAAATTACTAAAAGATCGTATGGAGATTAAACCCAAAACAAAATGAAACAATGGAGATGTGAGATATATCCTAATATTCTTATTACCATTGCTTTGTCATTTGAAACAAAAGCATGAGAATGTATAAGAGCAAGCCTTAGGGTCTCTTCACAATCCCGGTTGAATTATTTGATTATTTTCAATTTTTTTAGTGATTCTGAATCTCAAATTAGAAGTTATAACTCATTCATCTCAATTTGGTAAGGTTTCATAATAAATTAGGGACATTTATAAAAATCAATGTATCTTGATTTTATACTTATAGTTGATGTTAAATATGTTGGATAGCATATATTTTGAGAGAACTCATGAGATCTTACTCTAAAGTTTGAAAATTAATGTCATAAAATGACAATCAATAGTATCCAATTTGATGTTTAAGTCATTTATCTTTTAAATGTATTCAACAGAACAATATAATTTTTAACTCTATAATTCTCTTTCGTATTGGATGTTACAGTGGATATGACACTTCATGTCAGCACCAAGTAGATATTACTATAAGTGAATATGTCATGTTATATTGGATATAACAATGGATGCTATGTGAAATTCATTACCGGTGGTCACAGAGTGGTGTAATGAACATTATTTTTTTTTTTTTAAAAATGTTTATTGGTCTACTAAGTATAATTAAAAGATCAACAACCAAAAGAGCATATTAAGTACTATTGATCAAGATTCTAAATTGTATAGGTCAAACTTCAAGTTTTACAAGCAATGACGATGTCATATCATTTTCAGGACGTGACTTAAGACAAAATTTGTATATAATTTATAGTTTTATTATTACAAATATATGTTTCCTATTATTATTTAGTTATATAGACAAGTTGAATACATATAAAAAAAATCACGTATTTTAGATCAATATAATATATCAAGTTTTCACAAAATTTTATATCAACTAGTGATAAAAGTTAACAATGAAACAATAGTTTCATGTCTAGTTTGGAAAAGAAACCATGCATTAAAAAAACTTCCGCCATAATAAGACGTGTCAAACCTTGACACAATTTGGCATGTGCCAGACCTTAGATTACCGCCATGAAGACTTTTTGGAAGTTATAATCGTAGCTTGCAGCTAAGCCATGTTTGTCTAAAAGCCTACTATGCTATTAATTGTAATTTATTTTTATGGCATTAACCTTATCAATGAATTTGATGAATGGACTTATTCATAAAAGTTTTAAGTTTTAAACAGTGTAATTGTAAAAAAAACCTAACATTTTTTTGTAGTATTATAACCATAACTTTCTCATAGAATTATCACTCTAGCCCACTTAACAAGTTTTATGGGTAACTATGTTATCTTTTTTGCAAAATCAGTCATAAAAATGAGTTTAAAGTCCAAATTTGGCTCCTGTAGTTTACAAAAAATTATACCGTATGGTTTTTTAACTTTATTTTTCGTTTTTTATTTACACCACATGGAATTTGTAAATTCAACATACAATAATAAAGCTTCTCACACTTCTCTTGTGTGAATCGTTCAAAAAATACCAACAAATTACTTATGAGACATACCAAAAAAATCAAGATTCTCAAACACATTTCTCATACCATCATAATAGCAAAACGGTTTGTTGATGAACACACATTGAAAATAAACTTTGATTGCGATGAATATTGCAATCAAGATGATCTTTGGTGGGAGCAAGGGTTTTTTAGGTTCACTATGACGAAAGTGAAAAAGAAAGCGGGACACTCTAATTTAAAGGCAATAGATCTTAATAGAGTAAATGTGGCATTTTCAATTAATGACGTGGCACAATCATTTCTTACATGGCACAACAAAGGAAAGATATCACACACTACATAAGACAATCATGTGCAAGCTGCTTGAGGTACCGCAACCTGGTACCTTGTTAAATAAGGATGTTTTAAACATTACCATTCAGACTTCATTCCCTTTTTGTACAAAAAAACAAGTTTCTTAGGCTGATATGACATTAACCCAAGCTGTAATTTACTCTAAATTAAATGAACCTTGTGAAGATTTACCCATCCTAATTCTCCTAATTTGTCATCTTCAAAGACATCGTCATCTCCTGACGCTCTACGGGATTTACAAGATATTTACAAAATAAGCAGAAAGACGGCGGATTTCATGAAAAATCAAATGTGGAAACTTGTAGAGATTCCAAATGGGCACCGACCAATTGAGGTAAAATAAGTTCATAAAACAAAAATGAAAAGAGAGATGTCAAGAAACACAATGCTCGATTAGTCGGACAAGGAGTAGATAGATGCTTGCTTTATGAAGGATGATTTCAAAAGATGTCCATATGAGCATACTCCACTTCAAAGAAAGTAAAAGTAAATTTCTTTATGTATGTCTTTACGTCGATGATCTTATATTTTACCGAGAATTACATCAGCATGATTGAAAATTCTGTAGAATTTGCGGACTGTTTCACTATTTTCTTGATAACCATTTCCATGAATATAATTTTATCCAACATGATCCAACTCTTGTAACCAAATTAAGTTGGTAGCTTTTTTACTTAAACCCAACTCATTCAATTCTAAAAAAGACAGACATTATTTGAGCATCAAGAGTCGACCTCAACTCACACTAAACTGGCAAAAATGAAGCCAAAACTCATGATAATCTCAAGTGTTGATTAATTAATTAATAAATTAAGCAACTTCAATAAGTGTGGTCTCATAGTCATCAGGAGCCACAAACCCATGCAAATTCATAATCGTTGCCGCCACATTCGCTAGCCCACCATTTGGGACATCCTTACGGAACTTCACACCACTCGCTAACCCTGGTCCTCCTATCGCAACTGGCACCTGCACACAACATAACATGAACAGTCTTGTACTATGTTTGAACTGTAATTATAACTAATGTGAATAGGACAAAACTGCACTTTTTCTTGTCCAACCCAAAAAAGTAAAGATGGGTATTTATTGCTTACTGGTTGAAGAGTGTGTGAGGTTAGGATTTGGACTTTGCCATCCTTGCCAACTATTGGCTCCCCTTTCTTGTCCCGTTTCACCATGTCCTCTGCGTTCCCATGATCTGCAGTCACGACATATATGCCACCCACTTTCTCTACCGCATCAAGTATCGTCTGTCACAATATAAAACCTATATTTATTTATTTCCGTATATCATAATTTAAATTATAAATAAAAATTATAAATGTATTTAAAAATTTACGTGACACTTAACATACCTTAACAGCCTCATCAGCAGCCTTGCAAGCGACAATTGTGGCGTCCACATCACCCGTATGCCCAACCATATCACCATTTGGTATATTCACTCGTACCTAAATTTAACCAAATTATAAATTTTGTCTCATTAACATCAGTTCCAGTACAACCTGTTTTCTTCTGTTCTGTCTTGTCCTGTCATCTGTCATGTGGGGCCGGCCTAAAGGGAGAAAACGATTTATTTACCTGGTCAAACTTTCCACTAAGGATAGCATCACGCGCTTTTTCACCAATCTCAAAAGCCTTCATCTTTGGTTTCTCATTAAATGTAATTCCAGAATCACTTGGAATCTCCACATATTCTTCCTTCTCAGAATTAAAACATCCCGAACGATTTCCATTCCAGAAGAAAGTAACATGGCCAAACTTCACAGTTTCACTATTGTAAGAAAAAAAAAAAAACAAGGATACGTATCAATTCTATTATGCATATTTTTTTTTTAAAAAAAAAGAAAAAAAGAAAAGGAATCACCTGCAGGCGAAAGTGCGGATACCATTGTTGACCAAATATTCACCGGAAGTCCTCTCAATCAATGGAGGTGATACAAGATAATGATTTGGAAGTTTCAACTCTCCATCATACTGAAGCATACCTGCATACCTAATTTTGGGGAAGCGGACTCTATCAAACTTATCAAACTTTTCATATTCAAGAGCTTGAGCAAGCATTGTCATACGATCAGCTCGAAAGTTAACTGTCACAACCGCATCACCATCCACAATGGGGCCCACCGCCTTCCCGCCATCATCAACAATCACAAATGGTGGTAAATACTGGTCATTAGCATTTGGAGCTTCCCTTAGTTTTTTTATCGCCTCAACTGCATTCTTGAACTTGTGTGGAGCTTCACCAAGAACTTGAGCATCCCAACCACGTTTCACAACTTGCCAATCATTCTTCAAAAAGAATGCAAGAAATGTAATGATTTTGATATCAGTATCAGTCTCAGTCCAATACATGTCAAACACAGTATAAAGATTTCAATTCAATGAATCGTTGTTACCTCATAACGATCCATAGTGACATACATGCGTCCACCACCAGAAGCAATTTGTGCATCAATGCCTTTCCCACGCAACTCTGAGAGATCCTTTTCTAGGGTTTCAGCATGGGTGACACTTGTTCCATCTAAAACATCCCTACCATCTGTAAGTACATGGACTCTTATCTTCTTGGCCCCACGCTCACTGGCACCTTTTAGCAACAACTGCAATCCAATAACATACATGAATACATGATAATCTTTGAAAAAAGATCAATCTTATGTGAGACGAAGGTAAATCATGGAATCATGTTACATTGTTTTTCAACCCTATGTATACCTGTAACTGATCAAGGCGAGAGTGGACACCTCCATCACTCATTAATCCAATGAGGTGCAAGGTGTTATTTGCAAAAGATTCCTTAATGTATTTGAAACCTTCATCATCGTATATTTTTCCTGATGCAAGGGCAAGATCAACAAGTTTTGCACTGCAAAACAGATATGAGATGTTATTTGTTATGTTGTATTTACAATTATGTGATTAAACAATACGAGTATTAAAGAAGATGAAAAAATCATCACCCTTGAGCATAGATTCTCCCAGCACCAAGAGCATTATGTCCTACTTCACTGTTTCCCATGTCATCCTCTGTGGGAAGCCCAACAGCAGTACCATGAGCCCTCACCAGTCTCCATTTATCAGGGGCAGTCTATAAAGAAAACACACTTGAGAGTTTAATAAAGGTCTTCAATATAGTAATTATTTATGAAATTTAATAGATTGAGGTTAAATAAGGTTTAACCTTTTGAATCCCAATAGGTTACAGATCAATCGAAGAAGAATTACGACAGATACTTAGATTGAAATTTACAAAAAAAATGTTATAAAACAGCATCAAGAATTCCTAAATTAATGATAGTTGTGTTACACTTTCGAGGTTATACTCGTTAATTCGACTTGATTTGGAACCATTATTTGATTAGGTTGCGATTCCGAAACTAAATCTGAAAATCAATCAATTTTAAATTGGATTGATCGACAATAATTCTAACACGCAGCTAACAAAAGGTTTTCCGGAATCGACTAACGAATACAAAAATCGATATAGATAGATCGTAGATATAGATGTTAGAATGTATGAGAATAATCGAAGGAAAAAAGGTACGTTTTTCAGAGAATCCATGGTAGGTGTTTCGGCGACATGGATGCAGTTGTATTTGCCGGGAGAAGCATCACCCCAACCATCCAAAACCACCACCGCCACCAACTTTCCCTTCGGCAGCTTCGGGTGATCGGCTAACTTCCATGAAACCTCTTTGCTTCCCATCTCCTTTTCACGATCTCTGTCTCTGGTTTCTATGAGAGCTTAAATTCTGGTACTCCCCATCAGATGATCAAACTGGTCTATATATAGTTTCTCCAGAACCTTCGAGTGTGATCTCTAAAGTATCAGAAAGTCCCTAAATTATACCTGGTAGTTAAAAGCAGCCCTTCAGTTCATTTATTTCTCCTGTCATATGTATCCGACCCAAATAAAGTTTGCATGTAGAAGGGGGGTTTTAGTAAACTTGAAAATCGAGGGATAGGAATGAGAAAAGGAAATTAAGAATGGGTGAAAAAAAGGAAATCAAGATGAAGAAACTGTCTCCGCCCGCATCTCGAGGGAAAATAGGAAAGGAAGCCGCATCAACCTCCATGAATGACTAAATTTTAAAAACATAATAATAATAGGTAATAACCACATTTTCAGGTTATATCACAAAATTGTGTGAATCTATAATTCTATATATATATATATATATATATATATATATATATATATATATAATTTAAGATAATTTTTGGCCAAGTAGTCGTAAGAAAAAGTCTAGCTCATATCACAAAATTGTGTGAATCTATATATATTATATAATATTATATAATTGTATGGCTTTATTTTTCGATGTGACATTCATCTGTGGGTGTCTTTTCGGTTGATTATGATTACGGTTTAGCTTTGGGTGTTTATAAACACTGGCGAGTCTAGAACGTAAAACCGGCTCATAGTCAACTGTGGGTGTCTTTTCGGTTGACTATGATTGTTATTGTTTGTATTTGTTTATTTTTTATAATTCGTTTGTTTGTATGGTAATGTAAGGAAAATCGTACTTTTGCTAAAAAAGAAACTAATTAGGACATTTGATGGACTCTTGAAGAAAGGGGATGTGTATGTTTTTTGAATTTCTTTGTTGATGATAATATTGCCTGTTTGAATAGGCAAACCACAAACTTAAAATAAATTTCCATAGAACATATCGATGAAGTCCTTGGGAATTGGCTTCCTGCGTACTTTGAGTTCGTTTGTTTTTTTGCAAAGTTTGGATACATTATTTCCAATGATGTTGGGGATGAGTGTGAAATTGGTAAGTTGCTATTGTTATCGAGGACACACGTCCTCTTCTTGTTTGTGTTATATTCCCTGATTCTATTTATACATGGTGTATTGTTTTGTAGATGTTATCGGTGTCGTGATATGGTATATCGATTTGATGCTGACTACGAAGGATGGTCGGTCTACTAAGATGGTGTAGTTTGAATTGAAGGAATTTGGATAATACACAATTAGCTAAACAATTATGTGTACTTATGCTGAGATAAATCATAAGACATAGACTAATTTTAATGGTTGTTTATTGTCCAGACTATAACGTATTCGTTGTACTCTATGGGTCGTACAAGAAAGGAATTTTCATCTAAGTTAACTTTCGAACCCAAGTGGTCTCACTGTAAAACATTAAGAATTCTATTTTTGACGATTTTTACAAAACAGTTGCGCAAACGGAACTTTTTATGTGATCACTAGTATTTCATTACATGATCAAAGGCCTTAAACCCCACAATAAATCTGCAGAAAATTATTTTAGGAACTTGACATATTTATCTCAGAAGACCTAAAATTTCATGAACAAAAACGTTATAGAAGTTTCTACAAAAATTGTTGAACTTCCGGCTACATTTGGAACTCATGCACTAGTTAGTGCTACATTTCTAAACTTGTTGGGGTTGAATACCCCCAATTAGCTCCAAAATATTTTTTAGCCAAATTGTTTTATGTAAGCTCATGGTTTCAAGGGATATTCTTTAAAACCCCAAGTGCTAGAACAAATTCTTTATTTTTCTACAAAAATAAGGATTTAATGGCCAAAAATTCAAAATAAATACTTACAGATGAGATAAAAATCTGAAAAATTATAGAACTGATGTATGTACGAAATAAGGATGCCACCTAAATTTTCATACAATTTGGTCACTGTTTGCTATTTTATTTAAAATTTTCATTGAATTAGAGCATGAATTTACAAAACTAGGTCTTTGTACTCAAACTCACAAACCAGTATTTTTCCCAGCTTTGGGAACATTATTAGAACCTGTACAAATTATATTGGGAATTTTTACAACAGTTTGCTATTTATTTATAATTTTTCATATTATGTAGGCTTAAATTACAAATAAATATCAAATGATCTTCAAAAATTACTATAAAAATTATGAACAACCATACCCTCTGTTAGAACCAGAAAATATATGTTTGTAATTTTTGGAGTTCATCTTCATGCGTTTATGGATTTTTTAACACAAGGCACAGTGAATTCAATATTACCAATAATGAACCAGACAAGCTTTGGCCACTTTACGACACCACTAATATGATAAGTAGTTCTTAGATAATGGATTAGTAAATTGTATCTCACTAGAAACTATTTGTTTCGTAGGGCACTAGTAGAAATCGATCTCTACAATACTGAACCGCAAACTCTCCCTTGTGAGTATTCACAACCCCCTTTTTACTGTTTTCATGTTTTGGGGTGGAAAGCATGCTACTGTTTTATTAGCTATCCATACTATTTTATGAACTTATGGAACTTCGTTTTATGAACTTGCTGAACTTTATTTTGTGAACTTGTTGAGCCTTGTTTTATGAACTTAATGAACTTAGAATGATATTGTTTTATGAACTTGATGAACTTGGAACAATACTTTTTATGAACTTTCTGTTATGAGCTTGTGCTATGAACTTTGGATATGAACTTTGTGATATGAACTTGTTATGAACTTTGTATGTTAAGTCCCCGAGAACCGAACTACAACCTATTAACTCGTATTTCGAGCTGACGGTCTTATGGATAACGCTATTTAGGGTAGACAGCCTCCACTCAGCCAGGATCGTGAGTGCATATTTCCATGAACTGAAATCATGGTAACCATGGACATGATGGCATGGGGCAAGAATGGTCGTTAGGCTTGGTTGTGAACGAAGTGCTTTGGCATTCAACACTCATTTTGAGTTGGAACTTTTGTTGAACAAATCTATATTTTCTTACTGAAATGATGTTGTCACACCCCCAAACCAAGGATGTCGGAAACGTCCGGGGATGGAGGACTTCATGTATAATATCACAACAACGAGTATAATAGTGCTCAAAGTAAATACAATCATCATAAATATAATTGAAAAGGTTACACCATAATATATGTTTACATGTTTCAAAATCAATTACATTATGATGACAAAATGTACTGTTTGACGATTTAACGTCTCATCCTCAAAATGTTGTTGATTTCCTGTTTCACTGATTTCCTGAGAATACAAGTAGTTTTGAAAAAGTGTCAACAATTAAGTTGGTGAGTTCATAAGAGTTTTATTTGAGAAAGAAGCCGTTTTCCTTGTAAAAGCGATAGAGTATGATTCCAGAAATTTCAATATTTTCTTTATGAACGCTCCTATGTTATGCGATAATGTACCCTAGAAAGACCCGTAGATTCCTTCTATAATCACCCAGCGTATATAAGTTATATAAAATTTAAGTTAAATAAACCGTCGAATATAATGGGTCTGCCCTAGGTCCACAACCAAACAAGGAACATGAAGTAAGGCGGGCCCACCAATTCTAAGTCGATTGCGACTAAACTCATATATAACTCTAACATGTACACTTAGCAATTATAGCTAAAGTCTAACAATTCTAGATGAAACGTAGATTTAATAGAAATATGTTTCCAAAGAAAATCCAATATTTTCCTTATAAAAGTCATGTAGTCCTAAATCCCAAGACCAAGAGTATGAGTGTGTTTTATACTTATAACGGGTTTGTAGTTTTAAATAGATAAAACCCCTTTTCAAAGTAGAATTTTCCCTGTAAACTTGAACGATTGTTAACTCCCTATGTGAGTCGCTATAACCATACTATAACGAGAAATAACCTGCAACATCGTTTTTCAGACGTCAAGATCCTATGACTCTTGTCACCCGTAGACCTGCCGGTCCGGCTGTAGCTAGCAGCGAGGTGTGGGGTGTCAATCCCAATATAGATCTATACACAATTATCACGTTCTCCCTACAAGAGACTCTGGTTATAACTTACAGGAATTTTAACCCGTACTCTATGAGTACGATGGAAGAATTGTCTCACAACTTACGTTAACTAGTTTACATATGGTTTGAGTATAAAACCTCTTCCGTGGTGGAAGTGAAATCACCCTTTTATGAAAATAAATTAGTGATATGAAATCCATAAACTATTACTATTATAGTTTATCATGTAGTATATGGAAAACCCATTTGTGTTGAGAGTAAAATCTTTTTCATGTAGTATGCTTTTATCGTAAAATTCATAAACTATACTTATTTTAGTTTATTGTATGTGTTCGAAATGAATGAAAAATCCTTATCAGAAATGACTATTTCTGTTTATGATGATAAACTAACAAGAAATACATTCAACATTTAGAAACTTATTGTTATGCACTTTGCTCAACATACTACAAAGTGTTGTTAATATTGTAAGCTATGTAACTAGTTTTTAACCCTTCTACACTGTTTTAAAAACATCATAGAAAAATCATACGAAGTCGAAAACTAAATCCGTAAACTCTGAGAGTTTAGAAAATGTGTCTAGTTTATTCATAATTTTTTTATTATGATTTTTAGAAGTCTCTAACTTGTGTGGAAATGTTCATATTCACAGACTGGTCCGAATTCGTTTATGAAATGATAGGCAGTTTTGTAAAAATCACCATAAATTGTAGAAAAATCGTATGGAGATGTGCAAGTAGTCATTTTAAAGGTAAGAACCTGAAATATTTGCATATTAACCAGTTTTGAAAGATATTAAGTTTAATATGGTCAAAACAGTCCGTGAATGGAACTAAACTTTCTTGTTGAAAGCTGATGTTTGAGTTTAGTTAAGTTTTTAGTATTTTAACTTGTATTTTCCCCACTAAAACTTGAAGAAAACATGAAAATGTGGGGGTATGAACTCACCTTGAGTGATCTCTTAAGATGGATGATGAAAAGAAGAAATTTCCAAGTCAAGAACACTTGGGAGATACTTGAAGATTCGAAGATCCTAAG